AGCCCCCCCTGAACCTACCGATGACCCCCCAAAGACCCTTAAGAACCCCCTTGAGACCCACCTGAACCTACCCAAGACCCCAAAGGACCCCTCAGAACCCCCTCAAAACCCTTGAGAACCCCCTTGAGACCCACCTGAACCTACCCAAGACCCCCAAAGACCCCTCAGAAACCCCTCAAAACCCCCAAGAACCCCTCAAGACCCACCTGACCTACTCAAGACCCCCCTGGGCCTACCCAAGACCCCCCAGAACCCCCTCAAAACCCTTGAGAACCCCCTGGAGACCCCTCCATGGACCTACCCAAGACCCTCAAGGACCCCTCAGACACCCCTCAAAACCCTTGAGAACCCCCTGGAGACCCCTCCATGGACCTACCCAAGACCCCCCAGAACCCCCTCAAAACCCCCAAGAACCCCCTTGAGACCCACCTTGACCTACCCAAGAGCCCCAAGGACCCCTGAGGACTCTTCAGAACCCCCTCAAGACCCTTGAGAACCCCCTTGAGACCCACCTGAACCTACCCAAGAGCCCCAAGGACCCCTCAAAACCTCCTCAAAACCCCCAAGAACCCCCCCCCGACCCCCCCCAAAAAGCCCCCCCTGAACCTACCGATGACCCCCCAAAGACCCTTAAGAACCCCCTTGAGACCCACCTGAACCTACCCAAGACCCCAAAGGACCCCTCAGAACCCCCTCAAAACCCTTGAGAACCCCCTTGAGACCCACCTGAACCTACCTAAGACCCCCAAGGATCCCTCAGAAACCCCTCAAAACCCCCAAGAACCCCCTCAAGACCCACCTGGACCTACTCAAGACCCCCTAAAGACCCTTGAGAACCCCCTGGAGACCCCTCCCCAGACCTACCCAGGTGGTGTCCCTCATCCCCACCTTCTCCCCAGGCTGTGGGAAGCTCACGGGGGTCTCTCACCCCATCACCATCCGGGCCTCGGGCTCCCGCTTCGGCTCCTGGATGACGGACACGATGACGCCCAGTGCCGACAGCCGGGTGAGCTGGGGGGGGGTGGGCACCCACCTGGGGGTTCTGGGGGGCCCCACCACCATGGGTGGTCCTTGGGGGGCTCCATGGATGGTCCTAGGGGGACTTCACCTTCATGGGTGGTCCTCGGGGGGCTCCATGTCCATGGGTGGTCTTTGGGGTGCCCCACATCCATGGATAGTCCTTGGGGTTCTCCATGTCCATGGATGGTCCTTGGGGTTCTCCATGGATGGTCCTTGAGGTTCTCCACATCCATGGATGGTCCCTGGGGGGCTCCATGTCCATGGATGGTCCTTGGGGGGCTTCACCATCATGGGTGGTCCTCGGGGGACTCCATGTCCATGGGTGGTCTTTGGGGTGCCCCACATCCATGGATGGTCCTTGGGGTTCTCCATGTCCATGGATGGTCCTTGGGATGCTCCATGGGTGATCCTTGTGGGGCTTCACCTTCATGGGTGGTCCTTGGGGTGCCCCACATGCATGGATGGTCCTTGGGGTGCTCCATGTCCATGGATGGTCCTTGGGATGGTCCATAGATGGTCCTTGTGGGGCTTCACCTCCATGGGTGGTCCTTGAGGGGCTCCATGGATGGTCCTTGAGGTTCTCCACATCCATGGATGGTCCCTGGGGGGCTCCATGTCCATGGATGGTCCTTGGGGGGCTTCACCATCATGGGTGGTCCTCGGGGGACTCCATGTCCATGGGTGGTCTTTGGGGTGCCCCACATCCATGGATGGTCCTTGGGGTTCTCCATGTCCATGGATGGCCTTTGTGGGGCCCCATGTCCATGGATGATCCTTGGGATGGTCCATGTCAGGTCTTTGGGGTTCTCCATGCCCACAGACATTCCTCAGAAGGTCAGGTGGACCTTGGGGAGGGGTTGTTCCTCAGCGTGGCTGAAGGTCCCACCCCCTTTCCCCCCCCTCAACAATCCCACAGGTCTGGTACATGGACGGTTACTACAAAGGTCGGCGTGTCCTGGAATTCCGGACCTTGAACGACTTCGTCTCGGGCCAGAACTTTGTCCAACACCTCCTGCCCCACCCTTGGGCTGGTACCGGCCACGTGGTCTTCAACGGGTCCCTCTACTACAACAAATACCAGAGCAACGTGGCCGTCAAGTATCACTTCAGGTCCAGGAGCGTCCTGGTCCAACGGAGCTTGGCGGGCGCCGGGTTCAACAACACCTTCCCCTACTCCTGGGGTGGCTTCTCCGACATCGACTTCATGGTGGACGAGAGTGGCCTCTGGGTGGTCTACACCACCAACCAGAACGCTGGCAACATCGTGGTGAGCCGGGTGGACCCTCAGACCTTGGAGGTCCTGAGGAGCTGGGACACTGGTTACCCCAAGAGAAGCGCCGGGGAGTCCTTCATGATCTGTGGGACCCTCTACGTGACCAATTCCCACCTGGCCGGGGCCAAGATCTACTTTGCCTACTACACCAACACCTCCAGCTACGAGTACACGGACATTCCCTTCCACAACCAGTACTCCCACATCTCCATGCTGGACTACAACCCCCGGGAGAGGGTTCTCTACACCTGGAACAACGGGCACCAGGTCATCTACAACGTCACCCTCTTCCATGTCATAAAGACCTCGGGGGAGATGTGACCTCAGGCTCCTCCTGCTTGTTGGGTTTGGTTTCTTTTTTGGCCTCTAGAGGATGGAAGCTTCTTCCTCCTCTTCCTCTTCCTCCTCTTTGGTTGCTCTTGGTGGTTTCACCCCATGGTTGGTGGCGCATGGAGCTTCTGCCTTCATTGGAGGTGACCTTGGTTGGGTTTCCTTCATCTCCTTTGTCGATTTACATCTTGGTTTGGATGGCAAATAAAGAACCAAAAATGATGTCTCGGGTGTTTGATGAGGTTCCTGCTGGTGGTTTTGTGGTCCCCCCCAAAGTGATGCAGGAGTTAGTGGTTGTCACTGGGTGGGTTGGTGGCCCTTGTCCTCCTGCCATTGGGTGAGCAACCAACACAGCTGGGGAAGCAGGAACCTGGGGAGGGCAGGGAACTTCTGCCCAGGGGTGAGAGGATGAGGAGGTGGTGATGGAAAGGGTGGAGGAGATGGAGGAGACAGATGGGGATGGAGGAGATGGATGGGGATGGAGGAGATGGATGGGATGAAGGAGATGGAAGGGGATGGAGGAGATGGATGGGATGAAGGAGATGGAAGGGGATGGAGGAGATGGATGGGATGAAGGAGATGGAAGGGGATGGAGGAGATGGATGGGATGAAGGAGATGGAAGGGGATGGAGGAGATGGATGGGATGAAGGAGATGGAAGGGGATGAAGGAGATGGAAGAGGATGGAGAAGATGGAAGGGGATGGAGGAGATGGAAGGGGATGGAGATGGAAGGGGATGGAGGAGAGAGAAGGGATGAAGGAGATAGATGGGATGAAGATGTGGATGTGGATGGAGAAGATGGAAGGGGTGGAGGAGATGGATGGGATGGAGATGTGGAGGAGGTGGATGGAGATGGAGGAGACGGATGGGGATGGAAGGAGTGGAGGAGTTGAATGGGGATGGAGGAGATGGAGATGGAGGAGATGGATGGAATGGAGATGTGGAGGTGCTGGAAAGGGTGGAGGAGACAGATGGGGATGGAGATGTGGAAGGGGATGGAGATGTGGAGGAGATGGAAGGGGGATGGAAGAGATGCATGGGATGGAGGAGATGGATGAGGATGGAGGAGATGGATGGGATGAAGATGTGGATGGAGGAGATGGAAAGGGTGGAGGAGATGGATGGGGATGGAGGAGATGGATGGGATGAAGATGTGGATGGGGATGGAGGAGATGGATGGGAATGGAGGAGATGGAGGAGATAGATGGGGTGGGAGGAATAGAACTGGGGGTGGAACGGGAAGTGGGACTGGGAATGGTGGGAATGGGAAATGAGTGGGGAGTGGGGGTGGTGGGATGGGAACTGGAGAAAGTGGGAATGGAACTGGTGGGGAATGGTGGGAGGAGTGGAACTGGTGGGCGTGGTGGGACCCATCCCTGTCTCCACCCCAGCTCCTCCCACCCCAGCCCAGGTGGGACAGGCTGAGGCTTTATTAGAAGCTCTGCTGCCCAGAGGAGGACTCAGATCCTCTTCCTCCTCCTTCTCCTCTTCCTCCTCCCAGAAGATGCATCCCGGTGACAACATCTCCCGCCCCTTCAAGCAAAGGAGAAGCTTTGGTAGGTCCTTGGGATGAAGGTGATGAGATACTGGGATGGAGGTGACCACCAGAGTGGAGATACTGGGATGGGCTTCACCCCTTCCTCCTCCTCTCCCACAGCCACCAGGATGCAGGAGGTGACCCAGATCCGCCTCAAATACCCCAACAAGATCCCAGTGAGTGACCAACACCCTTGGAGAACCTTTGTTGGGGACTTAGAAGACCTCACCTCCTCCAGGAGAGCTCCCAGAATCTCCTCTTCCTCCACCACCACCACCATCTTCTCCCTCCTGCAGGTGGTGGTGGAACGTTACCAGAAGGAGAAGACCTTACCCCACTTGAGCAGGACCAAGTTCCTGGTGGGCCAGGACCTGCCCCTCTCCCAGTTGGCCACCACCCTTCGGTAGGTGGGTGAAGGTGGTGGGACCACAGGGGTGTCCTCAGCCCTGGACTTGGGCAGGAACCTGGTTTAGATACAACTTGGAAGCCACTTTGGCTCCTTCGCTGGCCAAGTTCTCCTTGGGCAACTCTTCAGGCTCAGCAATTAACCCTGCTAATTAGTGGTCTTTAATGAGCCAATTAACCTTCTTGCCTCCACACACCCTGGTTGAGATAATTAGCTCTTGGACTTGCTAATTAGGGGCAGGTAATTAGCAGCCCCGGGGGTAATTAGCCCCAAAATGAGCAACGAGGTGGTAACTGATTTGAAACCTTTTGGGTTCTTCCACCGAGGAGCAACATCTCCTGGTGGGGGGGACAAGGTGGAGGTGACACCTGGGGCTTGGTGGGACATCTTCCTTGTTGGAAGGAGCCACCCAACATCTGGGCCACCACCATGTCCCCAGGGATGGGTCTTCTCTAGGGATGGTCCCCATGGATGGGTCTTCCCAAGGGTTGGGAGTTGGTGGGACATGTTTTGGGGTCATAGAACCCACCTTCTTACCTGTGGGTGCTGGTGGGCACCCAGGTTCTGTTGGAAGGAGCCACCCAATATCTGGGCCACCACCATGTCCCCAGGGATGGTCTCCATGGCAATACCCACCTTCCCCTTGGCAGGACACGACTCTGTTTGGCCTCCTCCCAAACCTTCTACCTGCTGGTGGACAACAAAGGGTTGCCCAACATGGCCATCACCATGCAGGAGCTCTACCAGGCCAACAGGGATGAAGATGGCTTTCTCTACCTGACCTACGCCTCCCAGGAGATGTTTGGCACCTCTTCCCTCAGCCAATCAGCAGCTGCTTGACCCCCCAAAACAAGCCACCCCACCACCTTGTGGTTGATCCCACCATGTCCCCAGGGATGGGTCTTCTCTAGGGATGGTCCCCATGGATGGGTCTTCCCAAGGGTTGGGAGTTGGTGGGACATGTTTTGGGGTCATAGAACCCACCTTCTTACCTGTGGGTGCTGGTGGGCACCCAGGTTCTGTTGGAAGGAGCCACCCAATATCTGGGCCACCACCATGTCCCCAGGGATGGTCTCCATGGCAATACCCACCTTCCCCTTGGCAGGACACGACTCTGTTTGGCCTCCTCCCAAACCTTCTACCTGCTGGTGGACAACAAAGGGTTGCCCAACATGGCCATCACCATGCAGGAGCTCTACCAGGCCAACAGGGATGAAGATGGCTTTCTCTACCTGACCTACGCCTCCCAGGAGATGTTTGGCACCTCTTCCCTCAGCCAATCAGCAGCTGCTTGACCCCCCAAAACAAGCCACCCCACCACCTTGTGGTTGATCATCTCAGGACTCCACTTTTGGTGAGGTTGGGGATAGACCTCCCCAAATCTGGGTTCAAAGATATGTGGAGATCCCACCCCATGGTGGTGGGACCCCAACCTCACCTTCTGGTTTCCCCTCATCCATGAGAAGGTTCTTCTCCTCCTCCCAGGATCTTCCCAAGGGCTTTTTTCCCCTCCCTTCTCATAAATTTCGGCCTCCTCTTGAGCTCCTGCCCCCCACCCCCCAGTAGGACCATTTTGATGCTGGTTTGATGGAGGAACCTCCATGTTCTGGAGATGAATCCAGTGAAATTCAACTCTCTGGGGCATCCAAAGGGACCTTCTGAAGCCCATGTTTCATTTTGGGCTTTTCTCCCTGGGTTTTTTTGGGATGGGGGGGTGGGAAAAACCTCCTGGAAAGGACCTTCTTGTGGAGAAGCACCTCCCACCTCCCTCATCTCTGAAGATTGGGGGAGTTTGACCCCCAACCCCCCCCTAAGATCCCTCCAAGGAGCTCAAAGCTGGAATATGAGTCAACCTGGATGTTTCCTTCTCCTTCCTGACCCCCCCTCCTTCCCATCATCCCCTCAAATTCCAGCCTTTCCCAGTCCCAAACTGGTCGGTTGCCCCCCAGGAATATTTTGGGTGTGCTTTGTGTTGAAATGATAATTAAAGAAGTGCTCAAATTAGATCATCAGCATCAGCAGGAGCCTTGATGAGCTTGGGGGGGGGGTTGGATCCATGGGCTGAGGGACCTGGAGAGGTTGGATCCATGGACCTGGAGAGGTTGGATCCAGGGGCTGAGGGGCCTGGAGAGGTTGGATCCAAGGGCTGAGGGACCTGGAGAGGTTGGATCCATGGACCTGGAGAGGTTGGATCCATAGACCTGGAGAGGTTGGATCCATAGACCTGGAGAGGTTGGATCCATAGACCTGGAGAGGTTGGATCCATAGACCTGGAGAGGTTGGATCCATAGACCTGGAGAGGTTGGATCCATAGACCTGGAGAGGTTGGATCCATGGACCTGGAGAGGTTGGATCCAGGGGTTGAGGGACCTGGAGAGGTTGGATCCAGAGGCTGAGGCAACAGAAAGACCTGGCTGGGTGGGCTCCATGGGTCGAGGCCATTTCTATGAGGTTCAACCAAGCCAAGAGGTGGGTTCCGATGATGAACTTCTCTAATTGTGAGTAGAAACCTTCCAGAAATCCAACCTCATTTCGGGCTGGTTAATTAATTAATTACTGCTTAATGAGCAGCTGCCTCTCAGAAGCAAAACTTGAAATCATCTCCTGGGGGGTTGGGATGAACCCTCCCAGTTTCTGGTGGAAACCAGGAATTAGATGGGATGGGGACAGGCACCATGGTCCAGGAGAGCAGAGAAGGAGCAGCTCCAAATAGCTCATTAACGTCATCATTAATTGTGTTCCTGGTGCTTGGAGCAAGAGAGGCCAAAAAATGGACCAAGAAAAAGGGAAAGAACCATCCCAAATGGTTCTTTTTATCTGCAGTTCCATGCAAAGCACCAAAGCCATGGAGATGGCATCAAAAGTGGGGTGGGGCAACCACAACTTCCTTCTCCCAAGGTCTCCTGACCCTCCCAGGGAAGAGTTTCATGGAATTATGGGATGGTTTGGGTTGGAAGGACCTCAAAGCTCATCTAGATCCAACCCCACCATGGGCAGGGCCACCTCCCAGCAGCCCAGGTTGCTCCAAGCCCCATCCAACCTGCCCT